ATATGATACTGACCTTAATTTCAAGTATTGATGGTGGGCCGAGATAGATATAGAAAAATAGAAGCTCATAAAGTCATAAAAATGACATTAATTTTAGAAAAATGTTTCGTAAAAGAATATTGATTTATGTTTATGATTATTGTTATGTTTACGTCCATGTGAATTCCAGCTGTATTAAACGCGGTCAAGCGTTCGGTTCTTGATTCATCTAAATTAAAGTTATGCACAATATGGCTGGTAAGCATTTTAAATATTTCACATAAATATTCATAAAGTATGGTGGCTTTTCACATGGTTAATCAGGATTTTACATTACGACATAGTAGGCGACAGATCAGGTATTTATAAGGTCTTTGGCGCTGACTTAGTTTGACAAGGTGTGCTGAATACAGGGTGACTTCGAAGTTGAGTCATTTATTTTAACAGTGAGTAGATCTGATCAAAAGAAATGTTTTTTTCCTTTACCATTTTCCTGGTAAAATTAAAGTAACAAAGTTATAGCCCTTTGGAAGTTTGAGTACCGCCCTGTCTCAATAATAATATTATGTGGTCGTGTTTGGCGACAACGGATATAATCCGCCGTATCGGTTCATCGCATCGGAAACAAAAAAGCGAAAGAATTTGGAACGATGTTTTTACAACTGTTTCATTCATTTGTATACAGTCAGTGTCAGTGAATAGTGGTATCTGTTGCGTGGCTCAAACGAAATAAAAAATGGCACATGTTTATGCGGATCGGTTTCCCAATCGAGTGCAACCAACCCCTCGTGCCTTTGTTAATGTAGTACAACGGGTTCGTGAATCATTTGACTTAAGACCTCACATATGGACGGCATGCCGGTGCTCCAAGACCTCACGATCAAATACAGGTCCGCACTGAAATACTTGTCGGGAGGATACTTTATAAAACAAGGTAAACATTTTTTTTTAATTTTTTTTTATTTTTACACACATATTTTGGTTTATCTTCCTTCTACAATCATTATCTGAAAATTAATGACTCAACTTCAAAGTCACCCTGTATAATCGTTAAAAACTGATGACAGCATTGCGTGTGAAATGAAGATTCAACCTACTCGACGCACTTTTTTGTATTATGCTTCATATGGCGTTAGGGTTGGAAATAAACATAATCTAATTGATGATAGACACACCTGACACCATTCTTGCTAAACCTAGATATGTATCATTTTATCAAACTCTCGATTAGAGTCAAATATAACTGGCCTATAACGTAGCTGCTCACTTCCGTTTTCTTTGCAATTACCAAATTATTTTTGTATATGAGCTTTCACGGTGACTCCACATAAACATAATGACAATCATTTTCTCCAAGCTAATGTAACGCTAGCGTATCATACTTAAAATGACATGTGATTCATCTAATTTTCCGCGAATACCTAATTATTCCCTGGTAAATCCGATATCAGCTGCCAAAGAACGCTCTTTATGTTTTCATAACATCGAGACAACTTAATGCTGACTGCAAATATCAATAAAGCTTATACACGATAGTTCAGTTGAGATCAGCATTAACATTACGGTGAGATACCAGTTGTTACGTCATTTCATTTAGCTTGAAATGCCAGGTTAAAAATGTTGTTAACCACATATGACTGTAGATAGGTCAAGAAGTTATTAGCAGGCCCAGAGAAGTATCAAACGCTGTGGCGATTGAACAATAAATAATAGTTTAAAAAACTAAAAAACACGCTTTTATAGCTAAACAAAAAAAAGTAGAAAATAATTTTTAATTACGAAGAGTTTATATTACAGTAGTATTCAGAGTAAAAAGCAGTGGCGAAGCGTCCATGTAACCATTGTTACCATTGGTAACAGTTACAAATCTTAAAAATAAATATTTCATGACTAAGTACTGTGAAATAGTTTCATTTATTTGTTTACCAACAGCGATATGTAATAGTAATTCAGCAAATAGCAAATTAGCCCCACGAAAATAATGCGCCCTATGGTTGGCGGTTGTTGTCATTTTCATTTATGGATACACTTGGTAGTCCGTCGGGGACCGTCGGGGCCGGCTCGTGTCTGATCGCGGTCGCCCTAGTGGGTGGAGCGCTGCGACTTATGTGGGCTTGTTCGTTTTGAAGGGGATGACTCTGACAATAGAGGAAATTACAGGGAATTGTTAACATTGCCAAAAAAGTGATCAAAGATTTTCCGAGCATCTAGAAACGTCGACTGTTTTTTCGGACGGCTTGGATTAGGATGAGGTATATCAAGTGCCCCAGACGCTCAGTCCACGAATGTTTAAAAATAGTTTAAATAAAATACGTAAGATAAGCAAAAACTTATATTTGGGAGGTTCAAAATAAACTTTTTTTAATAAGATTTTTCACACCTGGTTTTGGTAACAGTTTGGAAAAAGTCACGCGTCGCCACTGGTAAAAAGCGTTAGTACAATTCTATTTTGAGGTCGTTAATCATGATTAATTGTTCGATCATCTACTACTGTAGTATAAACTTTTTGTAATTAAAAATTATTTTCTACTTTTTAGTTGGGTTAGCTATAAAAGCGTGTTTTTTTTATTTATTTATTATTTGTTTTTCATTTTTTAGTTTGATTTATCAATTAGTTTTTTGTGGACGTGTGGTATTGTTGCATGAGGTTTTTCCTGTTAACTTAGGGCAATCAAGTTCAAGCAAACAGTGGCGAACCTAGATAACCCACGAAGAGTGTGATGTTTCGGATTAATCAAACTTCTGGAAATTTGTGAAAATTATGCTCAAAGATTCCATTACCTACATACAGGCCAAGCTAATATAAGCGTGTTAAAAAGTAGAATCGCTCAATCTTCTGGTTGGATTCTGACGCGCTACATAGGTTAAACGCGCACGTGACTTAGCGCCCATAAAAGAATTAAGAGGTGTTCGTGAAGACTTGTTACAATCATATTGGAACTTATCACCGGTAATGCGATCTAAGCATGAAGCAGATACCGTAAAACAACGGACGTATAATTCAAAATGGCTATAATAATAATTATCATATTTATGCGTTTATTTCTGTTACCTTGGTTAGAGTGACGTATATGAATGGATTAAAACTTTTAGCAATAATCCTGATCATGAATCGTTGGCACATCCTTGTCATAGGTTATGCAACATTGCATTTATGCTGTTATATTTTTGTCGAGCGTATATACAGGGTGACTTCGAAGTTGAATCATTTATTTTAACAGTGAGTAGACCTGATCAAATGAAATGTTTTTTTCCTTTACCATTTTTCTGGTAAAATTAAAGTAACAAAGTTATAGCCCTTTGGAAGTTTGACTACCGCCCTGTCTCAATAATAATATTATGTGCTCGTGTTTGGCGACAACGGATATAGTCCGCCGTATCGGTTCATCGCATCGGAAACAAAAAAGCGAAAGAATTTGGAACGATGTTTTTACAATTATTTTATTCATTTGTATACAGTCAGTGTCAGTGAATAGTGGTGTCTGTTGCGTGGCTCAAACGAAATAAAAAATGGCACATGTTTATGCGGATCGGTTTCCCAATCGAGTGCAACCAACCCCTCGTGCCTTTGTTAATGTAGTACAACGGGCTCGTGAATCAGGTGACGGCATGCCGGTGCTCCAAGACCTCACGATCAAATACAGGTCCGCACTGAAATACTTGTCGGGAGGATACTTTATAAAACAAGGTAAATTTTTTTTTATTTTTACACACATATTTTGGTTTATCTTCCTTCTACAATCATTATCTGAAAATTAATGACTCAACTTCAAAAATTTAAGCTTGTCTTCAGTATACAATTTGGAACAGGTGTTTCTGAAAGGATTGTCGTTGTCTTTGGATGGTCAATAATCAGCAAAATTTCGGAGTTGTTTTTGAATGTTTCCCGAGGTCTTCATCATTTTAGGATGTAGTTAGGAAATTATCAGATAGATCGCAACTGTTCCACAGTAAGAAACACACACGAAAAACAGGAATTTATCTGATAAATTTTCAGATCGATTAAAAGATAGGTGTATATTTAACCTTTAATATGGAGTAGTTTGTCAAGTCCCAAGTGATGAAGAAGTTCTTTATCAGAATTGGTGTGTTGGACCGTGGTTAAGAAAATCTTGCTAGCGCAGAGACAGCATTTGTCGAGAGGTTCAGCGGACTAGAATCGCAATTTTTCCAGCTTAGAATTAGTGGGATTTTTAATATCCATATTAAATGGACGTTTTTGAATGTTTCTCAAACCCTCGAAATCAGGGTTGTAATTTTCAATATCCATACAATTTATTCTGGGCATAATCGACAAATGGTCTCACAGGGTTAAAAAATAGAAAAAAAGGAGTCAAGTTGATTCTGCACTCCCTACACAACGCAATATAAATCAATTACGGAAATGTACAACAGAGACATTAAAAGTATTAAGTCAGTCAAACAGGCCCATACAATTAGTCCATTGACATTATTTCCCTGTCCTACTGGTAGTTACCGTCCATGTGGCAACGTTGTCCTTTTCCACACGTGCCACGTGCGTTTAGGACATTTCTCCATCATTCTAGGTTTTATTATCTATCTATCTGCGTGAAATATGGCTATTGCCGGTGCTCGGAGCGATTAAATACACTGAGATAAAAAAAAATCATTTACCCTCGACCACCCCAAATTTCAACCCGTACAAATATTTTTCTGAAAATCATCAGGGCTCTCTAAAACGTCGAAAAACGATGATTGAGCGATTTTTATGAACTTCGTTTTTGACCCTTTTCTCCGGCGCCACTGGATTGATTTTCAAAAACTACAAAGCTTCTGCGCCCTTGGCATAGTAGTAGAATTGTGAATAAATTTCATCCATTCCGAATGGCACTTTTCAAGTATTCAAATATTCAAAATTGTTTTTGGATGTTTTTGAGCATTTTAAGACTTAGTTAAAAAAATTGCGATAGGAGAAGCACACTGACAAGAATAAAAAAAATATAATGGATCGTTTATGATGTAAATTGTGAGATCGAATAAAGTATAGAAGTGAATTTCACCTTTGATACGTCAGGCAATATGCTAAGTCCCAAGTCTTGGAGAAGTCCTTTATCCGAATTGGCTTGTTGATTGGCGGTCACAAGTTCCGAATTGCACCAGAACACAAAAACTGACGTCCAAACCGTTAAGAAAGTCCGAGAAATTGCGCCCATATCCAGTAGAGAGACAGCATTTGCTGGTGTTCACTGGACTAGGGCCGCGACTTTTTTTAAGGAACTGCAACCTAGGCCGCGATAGATTCTTGACGCGCCGACTGTGGCCTGGCCGCGATCAGTGCAACAATCGCGGTTAGTCGGGGACTCACGTGCGTGTAATGTTAGTGTGGATGCCGCGACCGTCTCCCATTCAAGACGGGTAACCGGCTTTGACTCACTCCCCGCAACGGTGCACTCACACTTTTATATGGGAGGGGATATAGGTTTCTGGAATTAGTAAATATATCTGAAAAACGCCACCCCATTCCTAGATCCGCCTGACGCCTAGCGCTTGACATTTGCATCCGCCAAGAAACTTTCCTACAGGGTTGCGCCCCGGACACTGCCAATTTTGGGGATTAATCACGTCAAGCAGTCGTGCACACCTACGGTAGAGCAACAATGCCTTGATGCTCTTGTCTCAGGGACTTCCCTTTCCCTACATGGTACCAAAATTGAAGAGATTAACAAATAGGCCAGGAAATAGGTGATTTTTTCCTACATTTTGGGCGACAGTGGAGTGTTTTGGCGATATCGTTAGATCATTAACAGTACTATCTCAGACTACGACCTTCCTGGGTATTGAGTTGGATGCAGGATTAAATTGGAAGCAATAAGCTGAAAATGTATGCAGGAAAATGAATAGGTCCTACTTTGCGCTATTGAAATTAAAGCCAAATGTCCCCAAATAAACGCTGATAGATGTGTACCACGATACACATACACTGAAGATAGGATATTGCGCATGTGGGCGGAGCTTCGTGACGTCACCCGGAGAGTTGTCGGCTCGTGGTTACCAGCGGCAGGATTGTCGTAACGTTACTGCAGTTCACGTGTATCGTGTTTAATACTATATAGTGCGATTTGTTGGTTTTGTCACCTGTTCTATCAGTCATACATACGTTATATAGCCTGTGTGGTTGATAAATTGTTAAAAATGCGGCGTGCTGTTGTGGGATGTAATTTCGACAACCAGTCTGAACGGAATCCTTGCAAGACAAGTTCTATAGATTTCCTCAAGACCCAAACCTTAGCAAAACATGGCTACATCTTACAAAAGGAAAAGGCAAAGTCAATGTAAAAAGCGCCTATAAGATCAATTTAAAACATACCTTTTTGGGTTACACCCCTAAAAGTTACCGAGCTCTAACAGATTATGCCATTCCTATGGAAAATTTGCCCAAGTCTCTATCACCTGGACCATCCATATACTTTGAAGTTGAGTCATTAATTTTCAGATAATGATTGTAGAAGGAAGATAAACCAAAATATGTGTGTAAAAATAAAAAAAAGTAAAAAAAAAATGTTTACCTTGTTTTATAAAGTATCCTCCCGACAAGTATTTCAGTGCGGACCTGTATTTGATCGTGAGGTCTTGGAGCACCGGCATGCTCTCCATTGTGAGGTCTTAAGTCACCTGATTCACGAGCCCGTTGTACTACATTAACAAAGGCACGAGGGGTTGGTTGCACTCGATTGGGAAACCGATCCGCATAAACATGTGCCATTTTTTATTTCGTTTGAGCCACGCAACAGACACCACTATCCACTACCGACTGACACTGACTGTATACAACTGAATGAAATAATTGTAAAAACATCGTTCCAAATTCTTTCGCTTTTTTGTTTCCGATGCGATGAACCGATAAGGCGAATTATATCCATTGTCGCCAAACACGAGCACATAATATTATTATTGAGACAGGGCGGTACTCAAACAAAAGGCGAAAGTTAAAGAACTGTGGTGTGATTGTTGCAATACTCTAAATCCCGTCATCATACTTTGCGGAATTACGGCTCTAGGTACCTGCAAGTCACCTGGAGCCTTGAGTTACCAGGTAGGAAGGCTCTAGATAGTTTTGCAGCGAGTCAACTGGTATCACTGGTTTAGGCACCGAGAGAAACAATACTTTCTTGAATGTCTTTGCGTATCTCGAGATAGAAACCACATCAGGCTGCTAGCGAAGGGGCTATCTAACCGTATGTGATGGAGGTCGCTGAGGATCTTGCGTGTACGCACTGCGGGGTAGAGAGGATGACACTTCAGCCCATTTTCTATGTCTTGCGAGGCTCTGGGTTACTACAGGCGGATTATACTGGCCAGAACGCCAAGGGGTTGGAACTCAAGGCCATACGTAACATCGCTAAAAGGCTTGAGGTATACGGCCCAGCACGGCAACGCGCGTGGCTCCGACATTGTTCCTCTTTTCTGTACGATCAATCCAATCCATCCGGTTTCGATGGATGACCAAGTTTTGAAAAAGAGCCGTCCATTTCGGCTGGTCGGAGTCCAGATCAGCGACGACTTGATCTGAGACGAACACATCTCATCAATAGCGACAGCTACTGGGAAAAAGCTAGCCTATTTGTTTAGGGCTAAGAAGTACTTCTCTCCATATGCCTCTTCAATCTGTACAAGGCCAAGATAAGACCTAGCCTCGAGTATTGCTCACATGTTTGGGCATGCTGACGCCCTGACTACATTGTCCGTGCTCGATGGTGTTCAAAGGACATGAGGCTTACTTACTACTTTACTCACCTCATTTGGTGTTCATTCATCCATGTGCGCTGTTAAAGGAACACCCTGTACCCTTGGCTTGGCCGTGGGTGACCCCCAAAGGAGTGCCACCCCTGCACATGACATAATAAATGAGATAAAATTATCTGCCCCCTGAATGGTGGAAACACTTCTAGGAAATACCAAGCAGGAACAGCGCCAAGAGGTCCCTAATGATTTTACTTCCGTGATATGTTTGACCTCACCGCCGTATTGTGGCTGGTCTAAATTCGTAAGGTGAAATTTTTTATCTGTCCACCAACATGCATTTTAATAATAGTAGTTTATACGTTTTTCTCAGAACCTTGAATGGGAGTTTTCAGTTTAATTCGAACGCAAGCCATGAAAAGTCCAATAGTTTCAGTGTGATTTAGAGTTCTAGAAATATGCAGGAATTCCAATGCGATATTGAATCTCCGTCATATTTAAGCGAAATATTATCTTGATAATAAATGTTAGGCTAAATCATACATTACATTATACAGGGTAGTTCAAAAAACTATTCTGGAAATGGAAGGACCTCTGAAGAAGGTTGTCACTCGTGCTAGCGAAACGTTAGGAAGAAATTCCGACCGACGACGGCCTTAATTTCTGTTTTACAGTTTTTTTTTGAGAGATCAAATTCTTTCGTAACAGTGCATATGCGGTTAAAATTTGTCGGATAAGTTGTGAAACACCCTGTATATGGCGCCGGAGCGGCCCAACATATTATTAGGAAAACCCAGCGATACACCAAACGTTTTCACTTTAAAATTTAATCACAGTTTCCCCTTACTTAAATAAGACAGCACAAAGTGCTAGTTTGATCAATTAACTATAGCACCAGAATCTGCGGCATCTAGCGGGCACAGCGATGACCCGGCAGTGCGAATCGGGATACAGTCGCGGAGCACCGGTATTTAGGCTTCTGCCTACGCGGCATAAAGGAAAAACTAAATACCTTACTTATAAAAAAATATGTTCTTCTTTTGTGTAGGTAAAATATCCCAATTCCGACGCTACTGGTGTATTGGTTATGGTATGGCTGTATGTTCAAAATTTTTAACCGATACCTTTATCTACGAAGCTGATATGCTCGATTACGAAATCATAAATTTCGGTAATAGGACATGCTTACGAAAATATTAAGCGTTATTTTTGGCGTGAATTTTATTCCAGAAATATTGCTACTATGTTGGATCACCCTGTATAGGCGGTTGATGTAAACCCGAAAAACTAAACTGACGTTGACAGGAATGATTGATCACTATCTTTGATATCTGTCCATGCATGACTAGAGTAAAAATGCTAGAATCAGATAAAAAGGGCAGGCTGAAGCGTCCATTTAAATTGATGTAAATGAAACTTAAGTGACAGACACACGTGTAATTGAGATAATTATGTTTAATGTAATAAACATCAGGGCTGCAAGAGTGTTTTGGAAGCAAAATAGTAAAAAAGGCCTTAAAACGTGTTGGGTATGCGCTGATTCAGTTTATTCTGGGAATATTTTACGGTTTGGCACTTAATTTCTATTTTGTGGTAGGTAATTGTACTACTCAGTGGGAATGTTTTGTCTAATGACTTTGGCGTCAAGTAGGTTGACTATTTACTTTCCACGCTGCCATCAGTTCATAAAGGATTATGTTCGGCCCTTCGAGCTAGCTATAAACATGTATAAAAAAATTAAATGGGTCAAGTCAGCCAAACAGACCATATACAGTTAGTACATATTCCATAGTCCCTATCTATTTGATCATGTTGACGCTCTACTCTGCCCTAAGTATCGATTATCTGGCAATGCTGCTGGACCACACCAAACGAAAACGCCATCAACCCTTACAACTACAGGCCTATAGCTCTGCTTTCTGTCATAAGTAAATTGATGTAGCGAGCTTCTGGACTACCTCGAACGTCACAGCTTGATTAGCGACAGGCAGTATGGTTTCCGGCGCCAACGATCAACAGGGGACCTCCTAGCTTACGTCACGCAACTGTGGAGTAAACTCATCCAGTCTTATGGTGAGGCCCATGTCGTTGCTCTTGACATCACGAAAGCGTTCGACCAGCTGTGGCACGCTGCCCTCTTAAGCAAACTTCCATCATATGGCCTCCCAAAAAGCTTCGCAGATGAGTGATACCCGTCATAATTGACGGGTTCTCCTCTTCATCCCATAACGTCAACGCGGGTGTTCCCCAGGGATCGATCTTGGCTCCGACACTGAGCTCTCTTCCATGATGCAGCCACGCGATGTGCCCGCCTGACTTTGGCGTCCCATCCTAACCGTGTCGAACTTGGTACATCCAGAACTGGCCGATACGACCGCTCCTTTGTCCCGGGGTGTCGAGATTGTGGAAGCAGCCGCGGTGTTCCGGCATTTAGGCTTCTGCTTGCACGGCTGCTTCGATATAAAAAAGGTTCAGTTGAGTAAAAAAAAGTTTCACCAAAAATAATGTAGCAAATGAAGTTTGAGATTCCCTACTACTCAAAAATGATTCAGAAACAAAATATTGTGCATCTATTACTGCTTAGTGATTTCGTATCGACAAACAGGGAAGGCTCCTAAGTGCGACATGTCTTAAAAGTTATTAGCATGGGAAAAAATCTGATAATTTTGCGTCCAC